GAGAGGAAGGGAAGGAGATTGTAAGCCACTCTGGAACTCCAAGTGAAGGGCAGGGTATAAATCCAACTCTTCTCCTTCTTCTCCTTCTCTCTAGTTTGTCTTTGGATGAGCTTGTTTTTCTGCATTTGTGATCATGACTCTTAGCGTGGGTGATTCATGGGAGCATTTCCAAATATTTAAACTGTCATGTGAGACAGCTGATCATGGATCAGAAAATTCAGTGTGCCACATTGCAAATGAGCCGACAGATTCCACAGCACAGAGGAATTAAAAAAGGGGCTGCCCCAATGATTGAAAACTGAAAGAAATCAAAGATTTGGCCAGCTGTTAACCATCTAGAATCAAACAGCAAGAGATTACTATTCTGTGTGCTCGGGCTCCACAGTAAAACTCAATAGATCCAGAGTTCATTTCCTCTGGGGTCAAAGGACTTGGGGATGATAAAACCTCATTGAGGAATATTAACAGTGCAGTCTTAAACAGAATGACACCCTTCTAAACCCACTGACTCCAATGCACATCAAAGTATGTCTACTTAGGACTGTACTGGGATGTGCTGGCTGTAAGGCTGGGGGAGGGTTGAGAATGCTATTGAATGTTTGCATACTGGGATAAAAGCAAATGCTGCCTTACACTGATTAGACCCTGAGCCTACGTGGCTCAATACTGTACACTCTTGACCAGGCCTGTTGCCAGGGTCTTTTAAGTTGGGGAGCATTTAAATTTCTTAGGGGGCACTGTCCAATCGAATTAAAGGAATACCCAGCTCCTTCCCCACACCTGCCCTGCTTGGGGGCCCTTGGCTGGATGGGAAGTAAGTCAGGGGGCCTAGCCCCGAGATGCCCTGCTGTAGCTACGGGCCTGCTCTTGACTGGCCTTAGGCACAGAAAGGACTTCTTTACCACCTGATACCCAAGTTCCCTCTAAGCTGTGGAGTCCTGTGAGCAGAAATTCTACTTTGTGAGCTACTGGCATTTAAGTTGTGAGCAGGTAGTTTGGCTGCTGCATACATTAGTGTGTTCTGGAGCCATCCTTCCTGAGCTAAGACAAAAATGTGTGAGCTGGAGGCTAAAAAACTGTGAGCTAGCTCACACTAACTCAGCTTAGAGGGAACACTGCCTGATACCCAAGTTCCTGAAGTGAAGATGCCAGGCATTGAACCGGCACCTTCAGCATGCTAAGCATATGCTTCACCCCAGGGACATTTTGGAGTGGGGGAATAGGGTGGGAGTTCCAACTTGTTCTCCCCTCCCATGATTTCTGACAGGTCCTCAGTTTGTCATTATTATTATTTTTTGCTGTCAAGTCTCAGCTGACTTGTGGTGACAAGGGTTACCATATTTTGAAAAGCAAAAAAAATGTGATCTCATTTTAAATACCCCTACCATCTAAGCTGTGATAATTGCTACTAACTAGGAATACTCCTAACCTTCCAATCCAAAAAAGAGGACATTTTCATCAGTTTTTTTTTAAAGAGCCCAAAAGAAGACAAATGCTAACAAATAGAGGATGTGTCCTCTAAAGAAAGGACATCATGTAACCCTAATGGTGACCCTGTAGGTAGGGTTTTCAAGACAAGATACAGTCAGAGGGAGTTTGCCATTGCCTGCCTCTGTGTAGCAATCCTAGACTTCCTTGGTGGTCTCTCATCCAAATACTAAACAGGGCTGACTCTGCCTAGCTTTCAAGATCTGACGAGATCTTTGGTCAGGGCTTTAGTAGTAGTATATTTAATCCATAATAACAACTGATAACACATGATAGATCTTCTGATGGCACCTGATACTTTTGGCCACTGTGTGGCAGAGTGTTGAACTGGATGGGCCATTGGCCTGATCCAACATTGACTTCTCTTATGTTCTTATGTTCTAATATTCACCATATATACAAACTTGATTGATTGCACATCATGTTATGCAAAGGTTATGGCTACAATAAATTTTTAAGGGAGCAAGCCAAAGTGGGTCTACTCAGTAGTAAGTCCCATATCATTCAATGGGGCCTAATTCCAGGAGAGTATCCTTAGGACTGCAGCCTACATATAGTAAGAAAGTGATCTAATGTCTGCTTTGTTTTTTTTAAAAAATGTTCCTGACATTGCAATTTGGTGCATTTGTATTGGTTTCTATTGCTGCTGTCCTGCTGCATTTTTAATATAATTTTGTGTTTTAAAAACCCCCAAAACTATGGGAAATCACTTTGAATGTCCTGCCCCCCTCAGAACAAAAGGCAGAATAACAATCCTTTAAGTCAATAAACAATAAAGGTAACATCCTTCCCTTGCTTTATTAGGTCTTCCATGTGACTTAAAGGATGCACACTTTTGCCAACAGGGCTTGGCCCAGGAAGAGCTTTATATTTAGCCTCATTGCTTTTTTGTGTGCACACATCTGCAAAGCCCAGTGGTCAGAATGTCATGATTCCATTTCTGTTTTGGTTTTAAGTGTGTGTGCGAGAGAGATGTTGCCTTAATAATAGAGTAGTAGAGTATACACTTTCTAACTAAATAAGAGAGACATCTTGCCAGACAGGTGTAAATCTAGCTTTCATCGTATAGATATGGAAAAGAAATATAGAACTGGAGAGCCGTAAAAAAGAAAGGAAAGAACAGAGATTAATTCAAAATCTCTTTAATGAAGGAGCCAGCATGGTGTAGTGGTTAGAGAGTTGGACTAGGATCCGGGAGACCTAGGTTCAGATCCCCACTCTGCCCTGGAAGCTCACTGGGTGACCTTGGGCCAATCACTCTCTCATCCTAACCTACCTCAAAGGGCTGATGTTGTGAAAATAAAATGGAGGAGGAGAGAATGATGCTGTAAAGTGTTTTGGGTCCCCACTGGGCAGAAAAGTAGTATAAAATACCTAAATAATTATATTTTCAATACAGTGGAAGAACTCCAGCTGTTCAACATGAAGGCATGGCACAGGTGTGGATAAGAAATGCAGAAAGGTGGGCTTATGCATCTTTCCCAGCCATACGGACCACAGAGATAACAGAGGTATCGGGTTCTTATCTCACTACACATGTTTAGTCACTCAGTTCTCACTTATACCCAGCATTAAACTTAAAGGTGACACTGGACTCAAACTCAGTTCTCACATCTATTGTTAACTCTTTTATTATTGAGGAAATCAGTTTCAATGTTTCTGAAGAAGTGTGCATCTACACATGCTAAGTCTCTCAGTTCTCACTTATACCCAAAATTGAACTTTGTTAGTCTTGGAGTCTCTTGGACCGCAAGAAGATCAAATCAGTCAATCCTAAAAGAAATCAACCCTGACTGTTCCCTGGAAGGCCAGATAATGAAACTGAAGCTCAAATACTTTGGCCACCAAATGAGAAGGGAGCACTCACTGGAGAAGACCCTGATGCTGGGAAAGACTGAAGGTCAAAGAAGACGGGGACGGCAAAGGATGAGATGGTTAGACAGTGTCATAGATGCAACGAACATGAAGTTGAGCAAACTTCAGAGGACGGCGGAAGACAGGAAGGCCTGGCGTGATCTGGTCCATGGGGTCGCGAAGAGTCGGACTTGACTGTGCGACTGAACAACAAGTCTTGGAAGTGCGACTGGATTCCAACTTAGTTCTGACATCTGTTTGTTAACTCTTGTATTTGTATGCCAATTTGCTGCCATTCACAGGTCTTACTATCTGCTTTAATCCAATCTCAGCTATACTTGTCACCCAGTTACTTATGCAACTTGACTCTAACTAGCCCTTCCTGGCAACCAACCCCCCCACCCTCTCTCCACCTATATGTACGGCTTGAAGAAAACGGTTTCAATGTATCTGAGGAAGTGTGCATGCACACAAAAGCTTATGCCCAGAATTAAAATTTGTTGGTCATAAAGGTGCCACGGGACTTAAATTGTGTTCTATAACGTTTATTCCACCCTGTACGGGTTTTCACAAGTCAGCGCTCACTTCCTCAGAAAGAAAGAAAGACATTTACCTTATTGTAAAAGAGTTGCAGAAGGGGAGGTGGAAAAGGGGAGGAGCTGAGCAAAGAGAGGCCTGGCATAGATCAGGTGTGGGCCAGGATCAAATTTTTTGGAAACTTGGTATCCATTTTTTTTTGTATATATAACAAATGGGTAATACATCCAACACCTTGGTATTGCTATTTGTATTTGCCCTGACCCCAAGTAGCAACCATATTACCCTGAGGGTGGGAACTGCATGTAGTTATGAATAGAAATGAACATGAAGTTGAGCACACTCCGGGGACAGCGGAGGGCCTGGTGTGATGTGGTCCATGGGGTCGTGAAGAGTCGTACTTGACTGAACAACAACATGAATAGAATCTGCTGGGTATATAGAGCCTCCAGATATGGATGCCTTTTGTGGATGTGGCACAGAAATGGCACATTCAACTGGATCTTGGCACCCCAGCATTATGTGTCTGCTTACGGGCTTGAGCTTCCACTATTTTGTGGGGTGGGGAACTGATAACTCCAGCAGGAGTCCGCTAATTACTTTGTTGCAGCAAAATTAAACAGGAGTCTTGGGGCATTTTAAAGACTGAAAGAGACAGCCTGGCTGGTACAGCGGCTAGAGAGACTAGGACCTAGCAGGATTGTGGTGGTTGGTGTGAGGAAAAAAATTAGGGGCGACGACATTGTTGCAGCTTTGGGTCCCACTGTGGAGAAAAGCGGGTATCAGTCTCGAAATAACCGAAAATCTTAACCAGTCATCAGATTTTGTTCCTCCATAAACTTTCCTGCCGGCTCTGCAGAGCAGGCTGATACGGAAATAGCATCGGAGTGGACAGAGTGCCCGCGACATTTCTCGGTGAAAGCATCAAGGCAAGAGGTGCAGACTGCATTTCAACAGGTATAATCTGCCCTTAGTTCAAGTGGGCACGAAAAAAAGTTTGCTGGAATAAACAATCGGAAGACGCCACAAGACACCTAGTGCCCCCCCCCCCTGCCCTCCCCCAGTTTAACTTCTTCTCTCCCGTCCCATCCAAGAACTCCAGCCTCCTCTGCGCGACTTACCCGTCTGGCCGCCGGCCCAGGAGAAATCCAGCCGCCGAAACAGCTGGAAGAGCAGCTGCAGCAGCCCAGGGGCGCCGAGCCAGGGGCGCATCCTGACAGCCCCACGCCGCTCCGCCGCTCACCCCTGCTACTCCGTGGAAGCGCCTCTGCACGCCCGAGAGCCAGTCCCCGCGCCCCTATTGGCTGCGGTCGCCGAGCCTTCCCCGGCCACTGGCCCGGAGGGAAAGCCAATCACCAACAAGGCATTCCCCGAGCGCTCTCCCGCTGTTTGCTGACCTATTAAGGAAGCGGCGATCCCAAGAAACGGGCCCGGGGGCTGCGGCGGGCTGGGATTTTATCCTCACAACAACCCTGTGTCTGAAGGAGGAAGTTTAAGCAGCAATGTTCTATGGCAGAGGGGGGATTCGAAGCTCGGCCTCCCAGCATCCTAGTCCAACACTCTTACCCATCACATCACACTGACTCTCCTTCTCTTTTAAAACCCACCTAAATTGCCAGCAGGACTTAAGAACACAAGAACAGCCCAGCTGGATCAGACCATTGGTTTTTCTAGTCCAGCATTCTGCCTCACACTGAGCAACCACTTCCTCTGGATGGCCCACAACAGGACATAGAGGCCTGGGATTCAGTGGCTTAGTGCCTCTGAATGTGGAGGTTCCCCTCAGTTGCCATGACTAGTAGCGACTGATAGACATCCACCATGAAGCGATCTAATCCCCCTTTAAAGCTGTTTATTCCTGGGGCCTTCACTATATCCAATGGCAGCTAATTCCACATCTTAATCACTTTCTGTGTAAAGAAGTATTCCCATATGTCCATCCTGAACCTACTGCCCATCAATTTCATTGGATGCCCTTGAGTTCTTGTATTCTGGGAGAGGGAGAAAAATTTATCTTTGTCAACTCTCTCTCTCCCATGTGCAGTTTTATAAACCTCTACCATGTTTCCCCTTAGCCATCTCTTTTCTAAACTGAAAAGTCCCAGATAACAGTTTGCCTTTTTCAGGGCTGCAGCACACTGGGTTTACACTTTCATTGAGCTGTCCACTATGACAGGCAAAAAGAAATAATTTTTCACTCAGGACAGGGTTAACCTACCTACCTGCTAAATGATGGCATTTAGGGAAGGGTCCCTGCCTCATGGAAGAAGAGAAGAGATTGGATTTATACCCCGCCCTTCACTACCTGAAAGAGTCTCAGAGCAGTTTACAGTCTCCTTTCCCTTCACCTCCCCACAACAGACACCCTGTGAGAGAACTCTTTCGATAACTGCTCATGAGAGAACCGCTATGAAAGAACTTGTAACTGACCCAAGGTCACACCAGCAGCTGCATGTGAAGGAGTGGGGAATCAAACTTGGTTCTCCCAGATTAGAGTCCGCTCTCCTAACCACTACACCAGGGGTGGCTAAACTTGCTTAACATAAGAGCCACGTAGAATAAACGTCAGATGTTTGAGAGCCACAAGACATGAACAAATATTACACACGTTTTTATTGAAAAATATGCACATTTGCTTTTTATTAACATTAGATGATACTGCCAAAATTAAAAACAAAAAGGGTAAAAAAGATATTGGTAATTATATTTATTTGTCCAATGATATTTATTTGTTTGCTAATGATATTTATTTGTCTGAGAGAAAAAGAGAGAGGTGGAAAGAAAGAATGAAAGAGGTGAAAAGAAAAAGAGAGAGAGAGAAACAAAGAAAGCAAATAGATGAGGGAGGGGGAGAAAGGAAGGAAGAGAAAGAGAGAAAGGAAGGGAGAAAGAGAAAGGGGGATAGAATGAAAGAGGTGGAAAGAAAGCAAATAGATGGGGGAGGGAGGGAGGTGAAAGAGAGAAAGGTGGAAAGAAAGCAAAAAAATGGAGGGAGGGAGGGAGGAGAGGTGAAATGAAAGCAACATTAAATATGTCCTCCGAGCCTCCCCCCTCCCCCCACCAGCCAGCTTGGCGAAGGGATTTATAGAGACAAATGCCTTCTCCAAGCCAGCTGGCAGTTTGGGGAGGGAGCTTTGAGAATGCATTTAAAGTTAAAGTTGCTTTCTTTCTCTGCTCCCCCCACACACGCACCTCAAGCCTACCCAGGGAGGGGAACACTGGCTGGAGAAGGGAAGACTGATCGGGGAGGCATGCCTCCCCTTCGTTTCCCCAGCCTCCCTGCTGGGAGCCACAGTTTGGCCACCCCTGCACTACACCAATCCTTGGATGGGGAAGCTCCTAGGTTCAGTCCCTGGGAAACCGAAAGGGTTTGATCCCAGATGTCTGTTCCACCGATACTAGCGTTCCCCACCCCGGGACAAGGAGACTTCCCTGAAGCAAAAGACCGTGCATTTCTACCCTGCAAAAGCCGATTCTACCCTGCAAAAGGAAATCACAGGCTGGGGCAAGTGATGCACTGTATTCTTAGTGCTTGGGGGGGGGGCAACAGTGGGAGGGCTTCTAGTTTCCTGGCCCCACTGCTGGACCTCCTGATGGCACCTGGTATTTTTGGCCACTGTGTGACAGAGTGTTGGACTGGATGGGCCATCGGCCTGATCCAACATTGGCTTCTCTTATGTTCTTATGATTTTTCTTCTGAACCTCTGTAATGTGAAACCTGCAGCATCTGGCTTCATCTTAACAATCATAGTGGGACAAAAATTCTAAGATACACCCCATTTAGGGTTAACTAACGGTACGTGAAAATCAGCACGCTGAAATATATCCGTAAGTCATTACCGAAATATATCCGTAAGTCATTACCGACATCTGTGTCTCCTTTTAATATACCTGCCTCAGTTGGAATTAGGACGATAAAAATGAATACAAACCACAGGGTGTGGTCAGATGGCGTGCTGAGAGCGGGTTAAACAGCTCCAGTTCTAACCGGATTATATTTGATCTGGATAATCGTGATCACACACTTACCTCCCTTATCCCGCCTCACCACACAGTCACGTCACTCCCCGGCGTCTATACTACCGACATGCGGGAGCGTGTGTCGGCGAGTTTATAAATGTTTTCTCAGTTTGCGCATGCGCATAGGTGCTCATACGTAGAATGGGGGGGGTGAAACTACCATGGTGCATGTGCAGAACCACCAGGGCAAATCAATCCAACCCCTCCAAGAAAAGACTTCCCTTTAAACGTTTGACCTGAAAATGGCCTCCATGAGATCCCGAACTCATCTAAACTCTAAAACAAGTGGCCGTTTAAATGTCGATTTTCTAAACATGGTATGCACGCACTGCCGACGCTAAAAAAAAAAAAGGCAGCCAAAAAGCGGAAGCCTCGGGCAGCTTTCGAGCGGGGAGGGGGTTTAAACCAGAAGTGGATTGACACCGGAGGAGCGATCACACAGGGGAAAATGCAGCTTTAAACGGGAGAATTGAGAAAACACCACTTTGGGACCTGGTAACAAAATACTCCGGGTTAAAGGGGTTTTGATCCAGAAACCAACAGCTGGGGATGGGAGGCAAATGTTGACTGTGTGATCGTGCATATAAAATCCGTTGCTGAACTGTCACAACACCAGATCAAACCGCACGTCAGAACGCACCCTTAGACAGATGTGGTTTAGCCATCTCTTTTCGTTAAAAAAAAACAAAAAACATTATTTGATTCCTGAGATTCCTTTTATTGAATGACTAGTATTTGGAGGAATCTATTTAAATAGCCGCATGAAAAAGCTCGGGAAAGGCTTATTTTTTGTAAACCTGTTAGGTGCAACACCCGGTATGTGAGGTGGCCTTTGGCGCCATCATGTGGCCATTAAATTTGTCACAATGTGTCTGATAAGCTCCCCCCCACCCCATTTTCTGACCAAAGTACAGTGTCTCCAACAACAGTTTGCGGACTACTTTGGAAAGAAGAGATGCAATGCAACTTGCTCACTGAGCTTAATGTCACTTGATTCAAGTTCTATATAGTTTGGACAGGAAAAGTGTGTTAACATGCTTGTTTTACTTTTGGTAAGACACTGATCACTTTGATTAAATGGCTTAATCATACAATTTTATATTGGTTTTAGATGCTTGAAACACACACTTTCATTTAAATATGCTTATTTAGAGTAAAAACTGAGATGTTACTAGAAATTGCCAAAATAGAGTGCATTAAGAACTGGGATGTGCTTGGCCAAAGGGGCAGCCCCGCAACTTTTTAGCATGTTTATGTGCGGGGGGGGGGGGGGGGACTGTTATCTGAAAGATGACAACTGAAAAATGTCTGCCTGAGAAATGGTGCAGGAGTTACAGAAAGTTTTTCAGTGTATAAAACAGGACTGTATGTAAAGTGTTAAAGTTGGCAGTTCAGGCTATTCTACAGTGTAATTCTAAGAACATTCCTGGGAGTAAGGTCCACTGAATAGACTTCAGAAAGATTTTGAGTTCTATTTTTTGAGTTTTTGATACTATTCGAGTATCACAATAAGATACCGTTGAACAGGTTAGAAGGATGTTTGAAGAAGCTTATATGGTAATTTTGGAATCAATCCACTTGGCTCCTGTTTGCTAAAACTGCTTTTTAAAACAGTAATTACAGGCTTGAATATTTTATTTGTTCTCCATCACACATTGTTTCTTTATAAAGAAACTGGTTAAGAGGATCTTGTTAACCTCTCATGCCTGTGGGAATTGTGCAGAGAGATTTTCCTCCTAAACTGGGATGTTACAGTAAGCTTCAGTTAAGCTAATCCTACCATTCAGAGGAGCAGCATAAAGAAAAGCTCTGAATGGTGGCAGCAGAAATGGACATAGAGGTTAGTGGTAGGGTGGGGTGGGGGTCAGTGAAGTACCTTACCTAGATCTACTATCTAGGTAAACAGGTGGCAATAGATTGTGGGGCTGCTCGCTTGTTCTGACACAGTCACTGAACAGCAGGTAGGCCTATGTTGCATTTATTTATTTGCTTCATTTATACCAGGGGTGGCCAAAACTTGCTTAACATAAGAGCCACATAGAATAAATGTCAGATGTTTAAGAGCCACAAGACATGAGCAAATATTACACACGTTTTTATTGAAAAATATGCAAATTTGCTTTTATTAATATTAAACTGATAACTTTAGATGGAGGTGGAGGGGAGAAAGAGAGAGAGAGAAAGGTGGAAAGAAAGAAAGTGGAAAGATAGATGAGGGAGGGAGGGAGAG